AAGTGAGCTCGCGACCTTGATTCAGATGTCTAAAGCATCAACAGAGTATCAGCGTTAGCAAAGACACGGTGAAGGCTAAGTAGGTAAAAGGGGGCGCGAACCTTAACAGGGCGACGCGATCCTCGGGTCGACAGAGCTCGCAGTAGTAGTGCTCAGGACAATCTTCAATACGACTTAGGCCCATGCAGATGCCGTGCTGCCACGCAAGACAATCCTCGCATTGGATCATGAAGTCACCGACGTTTTCATCTATGCCCCGTAAGGTGATCAGAGCCCATAAGCAACACGCACCATCTAATAGCCGCTGATAAGCAAACGTTTGTCTTACCCTCGGAGCCGCAATGACAGCGGATAATCTCGCACATAAGTGGCTATTGGATGTGTTGTATGAGTGTGTTTATAAGAGCGCCTGGACTCGCTCGGGAGCTGTAAAGTAATTGGGGAGCGGGCTGCTGCCATGAGCGGTCCACGGCTAAAAGACTCAATGCGACTGCCACGCTGCACGACTCGACTATCAGTCATTGGAGCCTCGTGCTAAAATATTCGCCTCGATATACACAGTGGATCATCCATCATCCATTTCAGGTCCAACCAACAGGACACAGCGAGGCTCTGAGATCGCACTCTAACTCAATAGCGATGAGTTGTCGCTCGTGCCCATCCCGCATTTCCCTTAACAGGAGCATCGTAAGATACTTTATGGTGTCATATGGATGTAAGACGCAGTTGCACGTTGATGGGCGGCTACCATATTTGGCGGCGTAGGTAGGTGTTATAACGGACCAAAGGGAGAGGCGATACGACAACCTGGTGTTTTCCTCCTCAACCCGTTCTAGAAGATCTCCCTCTACATTACGCTGAGTAGGACACAAGGTGAGCTGCGTGTCGAATTGTGGTAAGTATATGGCATTGCACCCCTACTGAACTTCGTGCTTTTAGATTTAGCGGGACTATGTCTGAAGTAGAAAGCATGTCGGCGATCATGGTCGAGACAGAAGCGGTGCTTCGCATCCCAGACACTCATCCAGACAAGTCAGCTCACCTACATGAGCTCGGAGCCTTGTGGTTAGATCGGTATATGCGAACAGGCGACATGTCTAACATAGAGAAGGCATGTGCATATCTAGAACAAGCTGTTGAACTCACTCCAGAGGATCACCCGGACAAGCCCGCTTGTCTAAATAATCTGGGAATCTCGTGGTATAAAATGTTTGAGCGATTCGGAAATCTGGCCGACATCGACAAGGCGATTGAATTTAAGTCGCGAGCTGTCGAGCTTACTCCAGACGGCCACCCAGACAAACCATCCCGTCTGAGCAACCTTGGAGTCTCGTGGCGACATCGGTTTGAACGACTCGGTAATCTTGCCGACATCGACCAGGCAATCGAATGCCAGTCACGAGCTGTCAAACTCACTCCGGATGGTCACGCCGATAAACCAGGCTATCTCAGTAACCTCGGAGGCTCATGGCGCTGTCGGTTCGAACGACTCGGCAATCTCACCGATCTAGAAAAGACGATTGAATGCGGGTCAAAAGCCTCCGAGCTCACTTCAGACGGCCACCCGGACAAGCCTACCTGTCTAAATAACCTCGGAATCTCGTGGCAAACCCGGTTTGAGCGGCTAGGTAGTCTTCCCGACATTGATAAAGCGATTCAGTGCATGTCACGAGCTGTTGAGCTCACACCAGACGGTCACCAGGACAAACCAGGCTGGCTGAGCAACCTCGGAAACTCGTGGCGTCGTCGGTTTGAGCGGCTTGGAAACCATACCGACATCAGCAGCGCAATTGAATGCGGGTTGAAAGCTGTCGAACACACTCCAGACAGTCACCCAGAGAAACTAGCTCGCTTGTACAACCTTGGAAGCTCGTGGCAGAGTCGGTTTGACCAAATCGGTAGTCTCGCCGACATTGACAGGGCGATCGAATGCATGTCAAGAGCTGTTGAGCTCACCCCAGACGGACACCCACTCAAACCAACCTATCTCAACAGCCTCGGAGACTCGTGGCATCGTCGTTTTAAACGACTTGACGATTTTGCTGACATTAAGAAGGCAATCGAATACCAGTTACAAGCAGTTGAGCTCACTCCAGACGGTCATCCAAATAAATCAGCATGTTTGAACAGCCTCGGAAGCTCTTTTCATAGTCGTTTTACACGGTTTGGCAGTCTCAACGACCTTGACAGGGCGATTGAAAGCCAGTCACGAGCTGTTGAGCTCATTCCAGATGGTCACCCTAACAAACCAGGCCGTCTGAGTAACCTCGGAAATTCGTTGAACACTCGGTTTGAGCGACTCGGAAATCTCGCCGACATTGACAAGGCTATTGAATACCACTCACAAGCTGTGGAACTCACCCCAGCCGATCACTCATACCAACCAGAATGTTTGAGTGGCCTCGGGCACTCGTGGCATACTCGGTTCAAACAATCTGGCAGTCATACTGACATCGACAAAGCGATAGAATGTCACTTACGAGCTGTCGAAATCACTCCAGACGGTCACCCAAACAAACCAGGCTATCTGGGCGACCTCGGAGACTCTTGGCTTAGTCGATTCAAGCGATTCAGCATGACCAACGATCTTAAATCTTCTATCCGGTTCTTTCAACATGGCGCTGAGCTCGTTGTCACTAGGCCCAGCACACAGCTTCAATGCGCTCGAATCTGGGCCCAACTGTCCATTCTTGTTGATTCTTCTCCCCTACGCGCGTATCAGAGAGCATTTGCTCTGCTTCCGCGACTTGTTTCGCTGGGTCAGACTGTACAGGAGCGATACATTAGCATTCTCTCAACTAGCGATCTCACAGCTGAAGCAGCGGCTTGGGCTGTGTCTGTCGAGCTCTATGACCTCGCTCTCGAATGGCTAGAACAAGGGCGATCCGTGGTCTGGAGTCAGACGCTCCAGCTCCGGACGCCGTTCGATGAGCTTGCTAAAATCAACTCAGATCTAGCAAATCGTTTCAGAAAAACTGCTTCTCAGCTTGATGTTGCTAGCTCACGTTCCCAGACAGAAAACGCCTCTGTAGAACCCCAGCAGACTCTAGAGTTCCAGGCACAACGGCATCGCCGTTTGGCAGAGCAGTGGGACAAACTTCTTGCCGAAGCTCGCCAGCTCCCTGGTTTTCACAGTTTTATGCTTCCTCAGACGTCAGCGGATTTAAAGAAGGCTGCCATGGACGGCCCGGTTGTGGTTATCAACACACATCGTTCTCGCTGCGATGCGCTGGTCATCTTCCCGGAGTGTGATGATATAGCGCATATACCCCTTGAGAATCTTGCTAACCATCACATAGATCAAATGGGATTACAAGTGAGCTCATGGGTAGGATGCCGAGGAGGTGATGCTCGGGGTGTTAAGTATTTCCCCCCGCCAGTAGAATCTGGAGACCGTCTCCAACCGCTGAAGGACCTTTGGCTGGGTGTAGTGAGACCAGTACTAGATGCACTTGCATGCACGGTAAGCATAGTTCTTACGATCGCTTGACCATGTTTGACCCTTCGACTATGGTTCAGCGTAAACTGCCATACAACGAGCTACCCCACGTGACCTGGTGTGCCACTGGCGCACTGTCGTTCCTACCCCTCCATGCGGCTGGTTTGCACGATGGCCAGTCATACAGCACCTTTGATCTTATTGTCTCATCTTACACACCCACATTGAGTGCTCTGCTTCCTCGGAGGGATGAAACAGTCACATGGACTAATGGAATCTTGGCTGTCGGCCAAGTAAATACACCCGGTCAACCCCCTTTGCCAATGACTGCGGAAGAGCTCGCCATCATCAAAAAACATGCCGTGGTCACTTTATTCCAGCAGCTTGATGGGTCATCAGCCACAGTCAACGCCACACTTGGCGCGATGGAGCAGCATAGCTGGGTGCATCTTGCATGTCACGGGGCTCAAAACCGTGACAACCCCAGCCAAAGCGCCTTTTATCTTCACGATGGCTGTCTCACGCTCGAAGAGATCGCCAAGAGAGCATTCAAGCACAAGGGTCTGGCCTTTCTCTCAGCATGTCAAACTGCGACCGGGGACAACAAACTGCCGGATGAAGCGACTCACTTGGCCGCCGGGATGCTCACGGCTGGATATCCAAGCGTGATAGCCACAATGTGGTCAATCATGGACGAAGATGCGCCGTTGATCACGGAAGAGGTTTACGCCGAGCTAATGAAGGATGGAGCGATGGATCACAGGAGGGCGGCCTTTGCACTCCACAAAGCGCTGGCGAAGTTACGAGAGAAAGTCGGGGTGGAGGCGATTGGCCGGTGGGCGCCGTTTATTCATGTTGGTATATGAACGCGGCTTGGCACGAGATCAAGTTGTTCTGAACATACGACTTTGTTTCTTGAAGTGGTATATCTATTCATATAACATAAGAACTCGCAAACATGACTTAATGTATGGTAGTATACTTCAAATAGATGATATGTATGCGCATTCATCGACTAGAGCTAAGAAGCATGAAATCACGCTGGTGAATTTCGTTCGTGTCTTGTAAGATTTCAAGCCTCGTTGCAACTCCTTACTTTACCCATATTCACACGCGCGTCGCTCGCTACTTTGAGGCTTTACAACCGTGTGTACGAAAATGGTTGCATCCACCATTCTGTTCTTGGTATCGGCTCAAACGCTCTGCTCAGACATGATATCTCAGGCGCTAATTTGCAGCAAGGGGAAAGATTTTTTCGATGTGCCTTTATCTTTGCGCATATACTCCGGTACTAGAGGCAGTTCAGTTGCACTGGTCTGTCATGAGGTATTCGAAATAAACGCTACTCACTGAGCGCCGTGGCTGTCAGGCTACCACTATGTTGACTGATCCGAATACGATGACGACGCCACCCTCCAAAGCGCCCGGGACTACAAAACACAGCAAGTTCTCGTAGTTTACAAGGACGGAAGCCTCCATCATGACGATGAAGCTCAAGCACGTTTTGTCCGAGTGGGAATGCATGCGCGAACAAGCTAGAAATGAGGGCCAGTAACGGCAAGACCGCTTAGCTCAGTGGTAGAGCGTGTGATTCCAGCTGATGTAATGCTGACCAATGCTTACGTAAGCCTCCACAAGGTCGTCCGTTCAATCCGGGCAGTGGTCACACTTTTTACATGCTTGCACTTGACCAGACATCTTACCGTAGCTCATGGAGCTTCAAACCGGTCGAAGAATACTTGCTTTTGATAAAGATTGAGTCATAGCACTACGTAGACCGAGCATACAGCTACCCAAAATACACCGTTAGATACCGCTGGATCAGGGCTATCGAACGATGTCAAGATCGTACGGTTTGACCGAGAACTCACGGAGATGTGCTTGAAACGGGTAAGGGGGTCCTTTAGCCAGCTCCATGGCCTGGGGGTAGGTCCATACACCTGGACAGTGTACAGACTAAGTACTATGCATTGTAGGGACATGTGAGCTCTATATTTCAGTGCCTACTAGCTGAGCTCTAGCTTAACTAGGGCAGGTGCACCTAGGGGTGCGTGTTTCCCCTACCCCCAGGCCATGGAGCTGGCTAAAGGACCCCCTTACCCGTTTCAAGCACATCTCCGTGAGTTCTCGGTCAAACCGTACGATCTTGACATCGTTCGATAGCCCTGATCCAGCGGTATCTAACGGTGTATTTTGGGTAGCTGTATGCTCGGTCTACGTAGTGCTATGAATCAATCTTTATCTAGAAGTAGGTTTTCTTCGATTGGTTGCATCGGCTACTGTATAAGGATAAGTGTGATTCATTTACAAAATTCTTGTTTCCTCATGGATGCTTATGGGTGCTCATGAGCACTCATCGAGCTCATTGAGCACATGAGCTATCTCCCCTATAAGGAGTACTCAGCTAGCTGACTATTTAGTGTGTACTTCCAGACTTCAGACTAAGCATACAGTGTCGCAGCTGAACCACTGGTTATAGGCACAAATACGGCCTCAGTAAAGCTTCAGATGAGTTTTTGTACGTTGTTAAGGGTGTACGAGAACGCATATAGTCAGTAAAAAGTCAATCCAAGCTATTTCACCAAACATAATAGTAGAAATTATTAAAACAGGATTAAAAGAATGAAAATATGAAAAAGATGCATCCAGGATTCCTAGGAGTTCTTTATAATTCTAGGGCTCAGTAAGAGCACCTTGAAATTACTTGTATATTCACTCCTATTTCCCCACATACACATGGCGGGGGGGGGGGGGGTTGTCCGGTCCCGCCTGTGATACCAATGATCATTCTACTTTATTGGGCCCGCAGGTATCCTATCGCAAGTTCTCTATTTCTGTCGAGTACTTTGGCTGTGGGTTCACATTCAATATCATACAGTTACTACATACTACCCTATGGGTTAGCATTCTTCCATGCTTTCCACTCTTCGTGCAACTTTTCTTGGATCTTCCAGTCTTTCAAAAGGTTCTTCGTTTTGCTTTTCGTAATGTCCTCTCCCTTTGCGTCCGTCACGGGCATACCCTTATCGTCCCACGAGCCATATGTTCCCTCGGGCACGTTGGGAGGGCGGAACATCTCCGAGGGTGGGATCTTGCCTTTCTCAAGCTTAGCGAGCCGCTTGGCCTCAGCTGCATCCGCCTGCGCTGATTTCTTTGCTGACTTTTCAGCCAGAGCGGCGAGCTTCTCGTCTCGGGCTTTAATAAGTGTATCTGGCGAGACTAGTTTGACGAGCGCTTTTCCATCTAAGACACGCATAGGGCTCAATGGAACCTCTGTAAAAGGATCACGAGAAACTCACCGTCCTGATCGTCCAGAGCAACACCCAATGGAATCAAATCGACATCCCGAAGCCTGTCGCACAACGCTAAAATATCTTTTGCCGAAGCGCCAGACATTGCAAGCTGCCTAACCGAGTCTCTGAACCCAGACAAGGTACGCAGGTACGGCAAGAGCAGTGCTTCCCGCTGTGTGCGCGTCTTAGTAAACACACTGAAAAACCTCACTCGTTCACTCACATCAACAGCCCCGCCGGCCTCGGCCCCATCTCCACCCCACCCAATTGTCCCGGTCAAATTATCACTGAGCCCAAACACCTTGAGTGCAGTAGTGACCCATCGTGCGATGTGCGCCACTACGCCAACGTTGACCCGAGATCGACCGCGTGCAACGTAGATATTGGCGCGAGAGACAAGATCTAAAACTTTCTGCATTGCCTCGGGTGTATTGAAAGAGTCGGAGAGAGCAACGCGATAAGCATGTTGGGTTTGAGATAGGCTATAGGACGCATATAGTCAGAACAGCAATGGATTGGTTGTGAGTTTTGGAGCGGAGATACATACAAAGCGGTTAGTTCAGCCTCAGCTCCTTCATAGTTGTGCCTAGGCTCCTCAACAGGAAGTTTATCTACCGCAGCTTCTTCGTCTCGAATAAGGGCTTTAGCGAGCGCAAAGAAATTCTTCAGCGGAACCGTCAGCGTCTGCTTAGCCTTCGACATTCATCAACTTACATCGAATACAGTTTCCTGAGACCTGACCTCTACCATAAGGCTCTCCTTAAAATCCATCTTCGCGTTCCATGTCTGAGCAAGGAAGGCTAGACGAATCTGGCGAGGTGTGTATACGTTGAGGGCTTCCTGGAATTCATCTCGTGTTCAGCACTGGTACGGGATTGCATGCTGTGAGTCAAGTCACGCACCTCGACGGTAATAAAATTCTTTAAAGACTTGCTCATTTTTTGGCCCTCGATGTGCAAGTGTCCCGTATGCAAAAAGTAGTTGACCCATTGGCGGCAGTCATGGTACGCCTACATTTCGGTCAGCCACTCAGATTCAAGCAGATAATGCTTGGTTCAACATACCTCACTCTGCGCGATTTCATTGTCGTGATGAGGGAAAGCCAAGTCGATCCCTCCAGAGTGTATGTCCATTCCATCTCCAAGAATCGCACTCGCCATTACAGAGCATTCAATATGCCACCCAGGTCTCCCAGGTCCCCACACGCTTGGCCATTCAGGCTCGCCGGGTTTCGATCGTTTCCAAAGAGCAAAGTCAGCAGGCGAGCGCTTCGTATCTCCGGTGCTAAGTGCACCCTCCCCTTCTTCAAGCAGAGCTGTATTATTTTTCGAGTGGGGTTGAAGCTTGGCATATACATGCTCCCAGTCTGCGTCTTTGCTCTGAACCCCATCATAGGCGCGGACATCGAAGTACACGCTCCCGCCTGCTTCGTATGCCCATCCGCGTTCGACAATTTTTTCGACAAAGGATACGATTTCGGGGACGTATTCGGTTACACGAGTGAGGGTGTCTGGTCTACGAACGCCTAGGCGGTCCATATCGCGCATAAAGGCACGTTCCCAGTATGAAGAGAGCGCCCGAGTAAGGTGAGAGGGGATAGGTGTTGGACTGGGTTGTGACAGATGTTGTGCGTCGAGGTAGGGTGCAAGAATGGGTGCGCTGGTTGTGATCAGAGGTTTGGAGGGAGAGGGACCAGCTTGGTTGGACCGAGCAGAAGAAAGCGCGAGGTGAGTGTCTCGCTAATATAGAGTCAATTTGACGTATTCGATTTGGGAATATGCACGTACCAATGCTTTGAGATGCATAGCAAACTTTTCATCGCGAGCGTTTCCAGCCTGAACCCAAGCATTATCTTTGGCGAGTTCCTCGATTCTCTGCCAAGAAGCAAGTTCTTGGCCTTGAACAACAACGCTCTTGTCTTCCAGTCCCTTGGTAAGCTGCTTGTGTAGATACGCCAACCAAGCATTCTCGATCAAGATAATGAGCTCGGGCGTTACGGTCGGGGTAGTGTTTGAGAGCGTGTCCAGGTGGTATTGGTGTCGTGCTCGAATAATAATCTATCACATGGTTAGTAATTTCATAGTACAAACATTTTGTGCTTACCTTGTCATCTATGTCTGTGATGTTCATAACAAAGTGAACGTCGTACCCAAAGTAATCAGTCAAAATCCTTCGTATAATGTCCTGCGTGAGGTAATTCCTACAATCAGGATGAACTGAGTTGGATTTTGTACCGAAAGGCAACGATAAAATGGCTTGACTTACCGTGCATGCCCCATATGACTCGAGTCGTAAACAGTCGGGCCGCAGTTGTACCAAGTTACATTTCGACCTTTCTTGGGGATGAACTCGGTCTGTGAGACAAAAAGAGGGACAATATTGGAGTCATTTTGAAGCCTGGACTTGGGAGAAGTTTCGTCACATACCTTAGACTTGGTTAGCGAATTGTACACCTTCAGCACGGGCTCATCGCTATGCAGGGGTTGTACCCATTCTGGACGAGACTTGTCCGCCATGTTCAATAAAACTCCACAGTAGAAGTTACGGGCAAGGGAGAGTCTTGAATAGTTAAGGTGTCTAGATGAGACCGGTCTCCTTTTAAATAAACCGAGCGCTGATAGCATACGGTTGACCCGGAGGACCTAATCATCATGAGCTGGCCCTGCGATCACGCGATCAAGTGCAAATTGCGTCTCGACCTCGTCCACAATGGTACGCGTGCAACATTTGTCTATAATAATCGTACTGACAGACTAATCCAGACCTTCTGTCTAGTTAATTTTCTCAGTATTCAAGACGCTGACTGACCAGGAGGTCACCGTGGAGTTGAAAAATGACCTTTCAATCACTGGGGTTCTCAAATCGGTTGACCAGTGTGTTGGCTTTAATCACCGCAATGATACGGCTTTGACTCAATTATCCCAGGTTCTTGAATATCAGGCTTGACGCAATCAAGGTACATGACGAAGCGCGGCATCCTCATATGGTATACCCACCGCACGCGTTTCGGCGATTTCTCTGACTGACTCTGCTGTAGATGGCAGTGAAGAACTGCTTTATTCGAGGCTCAGTCGTCCGATACGTGCAACTCCCCGCTAGCGGTGTTGATACGCAGCTTTTGGAGGACGCGACGCGCAAGGAAGCTGCCAACCAGGCGAAGCGCTAATGGCAAGACTCCAATTGTTGTAAAGCGTAGCGAGTTGTTTTTTATTAGCGGAGTTTACATGAAGCATGAGACATAGGAAATATGGCAAGAAAACCCGCGGTACAACTGTACAAGTATGATGGAGAAAAGCTGCAAACATCCCGATAGCTGATAGAGTATGATATATCTCCAAAACAAAACCTCCAAGAATGAACGAACAAAATCAAC